GCAGCAGCAGCGCCACCAGAGACACGTGGCTCGAGTCCTGCGACAGCGGGGCGTGCGCTCAAGGCGCGGCCGGGGCGGCGGGCGTGGCGACAGCGGGCGGGCGTGTGTGGCAGTCACCATGGCTTGGACGGAGACGCCGGTGGTGGAGCAGTCGAAGTTGGCCTCGGTGACGAGGTCCTTCATCGCCTCGGTGATCTTCTTGAGCATCCCGCCCTCAGTCATACGAGCCTGTCGGCGGCCGCGGCTTTTCGACGTCCGGCCGCGGCGCGCAGGCCCACGGGCGGGCGGGCGCGGGCGCGGGCTGCGCAGGCGCGCTCGCCGAGCGGCGCGTGGCGAGTGGGGGCGGCGGGGGAGGCCCGGGGCGGGGGCGCGGCGCACCTCGAACATGGTTATTGACGAGCTGTTGGTGGGAACTGGCCGCCTCACTGATGTCGTTCCCGCCAACGGGGCCGCAGTTCTTTTTGGCTGTAGCCGAAATGAACTCAGAGGACAGGAGGGTTTCCAGCGTTTCTACCCTTATAAGTCTCTCTTGTCGGCGCCGACGCTCTTGGTTTAACCGTAGAACGTCCCAGCCGAAATCCGCCCGCCACGATCGATCAGTCCACAATCGTCGGCCCGCAGCGACCCGCAGCGATGGATGCCGCCGCCCCCCCGGCCCCTGCGGCTGACGCGCCGATGCACGACCGGCCTCCGTCGGATGGCTCTCCGGCCTCTCCGGCCGCTGACGCGGCCGCCCATGCTGCTGCCGATCCGGTCCCTCTCACGCTCAGCGATATCCGCACAAGCTACGACAACTTCGAGGTCGCCGGCTTTGGCCAGGTGCAGCCACCACCTGCTTGCCTCCATGTTCACGCTTCGCGCCCCTTCCCCCCCTCTGACGCCGCCGTATGACCGTAGGTGAGGGGCACGACTACCCGCCTGGAAGGCGCTCTCATCAGCAAGTCACCCAGGCACCAACTCCTGGGCGTTTACGCTTGACTACGAAACCATGCAGTGGATGCAGCTCGATCAAAACGGCGACGCCAACAGCTGGTCCCTGGGCGAGTTCCTCGCCCAGGATGAGGTGCGAGTCATGATGCTCGACCCAGCGTGCACCAAGTCGCTCACATTCCGTGAGTTCGTCAAGGGCCGAACACACTCTCCAAGTCGACTGCGATCTCGAACTCCGACAACTGGACCGGTGCACCAGCCGCGGAGGACGATGGCTCCCTCGACGACATCCCTTCATCGACGGACGCCTTCACCGCCGCCGGCCCTGGGCCATCCAGCGCGGCCTCCGACGGCCTGCACGTGATCGAGCGGGTACAGAAACGGTGGCTGCCGCAGCTCACACCCTAATCGATCTGCCTTAGGCACGGAGCCAACGGAGCCATCGCGCATGCCCGCATCGC